ATACCTCAATTTTTTTTATCTTCAAAAAATAAATTATTTGCAAGGATAAAAATGATAAAACAATCTGTATAAAGATGTGACTCAACTCGTTTCTCAGAATCCTTAAATTGCACTAGCAAAATGTAATGGACACAGCCATAAAAGATACGGTCCCATGAACACTATAGGAATATATAACGTGCATACAGAAAATGACTAATCTTTGTTTACGCAAAAAGTCACTCATTTTCGAGTATAGAATAAAAATGTGTTAAAATCTAAAATATATATTTGTTATATTATTTGATCGGCTGAAATACGTATTGAAATTATATTAATATCGAGTTAATAAAACAAGGAGACATTTGTTTAATGGACACCTCCCAATAGAATTCTAAACCTCTCTAAGGAGAAAATTTCAAAACATCCCACCCAACAAATAGTTTTACTTTGTTTTTTACTATCTTAAATGATCGAACATAACTGACGTGGTCTGCGAATAGTAGACAAATTCTCACTTTCAATGATATACGCGAGTGTCCATTAAATATACAGTGATCAATGCATTATTATACATTTGTAATATCACTAGGTTATTGTGAATCTAAAAAAAAGCTATTCATATAGTTAAACCATATTATATAGCAACGTGTTGAGTTATATTAATAGGTGTATATACCTACTGTGTATTGTGTATACACTATATATTGAGAATAAAAACTTTTAAGTCGTGATGTAATAGCTCATAAACATTTCTTTCATAAACAAATCACACTTAAACATCAATGTTTAATGTAACTGTAATAATAGATAATAATATAAGATATATTAATATTTTATGCACTGTAGTCCGTAGATTGAAGAACCATCACGTAAGTAGACAATATAAATAATATAATAACGGGTATTGTTATCTGCATCTCGAGGTGTTGTTATCACAGTGTAAATTGTTCATATGTCAGGTATTATATACGTGTTGTATTATAACTTAGTAGATACGTCAAACGAGTTTTACTTTTGCAACAACGGCTGTTATAGCCCCGTCAAAGAAACTGTGTGTGTCGGTGTGTTTGATCAAGTCCAGGAATAATTAAAAACGCGCGGGCCAGTCACGACACTGGTGGGCTGTTTGGCCTTCTGGGGATAATGTAAATTCAAAAAAAAAATGTAATCAATGAGACGGAGGTGTTCTACATAATTTTTCACCATTAAAATATAGTGAACCTACAGCAATTAGTAACTGTTCAACAATAATTTAATATTTTTGAATAGGTACTGTCCATAGGTTAGATAGGTACGCTTATGCATAATTACCTACTGAAATTATTCAAATTTCTATATAATAACGTAAAAATATAGCTTACCAAAAACTTATTGAAAAATTTTGTATTTAAATAATATTGTAATTTCCTATTTTACAAAATCCAAAATACATTAGTATAAGCATAGGAATAAGCATAATTTTTTGTAAACAATATTTTTTTTAAACTGTTAATTTAAAAAAAAAATAGTTTTGGTTTTTTTTTATTGTAATTCAAAAAATATTATCCGTAAGAAATTGAAACTCTTTGCATTAACATATATTATTATTTACAATATCCACAGTTAAATTTTTTAAATATCTATTAAGATTATAATATATATAACTTAAAGATATTTATATCACTAACTTACAAACCTATTCACCGTGGTTCTATGGAACTAAATTATAACTCAAAAATGTTAATATAACAGCTAGTAATATTATATGAAATACATTATAATAATAATATGGGATATGTGAAGACCGTTTTTGACAAATCTAGTTCAATTTACTGTATAACTAACAAAAATTTAAATAAGTAGTAATAAAATATAAATACATATACAATAAAATATAGACTAACCGCCTCCACTCAGAAATTTTTTTCGTATACTATGATTGAATGATTCATCATTCAATCCAAATTTAACACGTCCATTAGACTACAGTGACTTACTCAATGACGAGGTACACTGTAAACTTCCTACAGAAAAACGACTTACCCCGGTTAGATTTTCTTTCATTAATTCAAATGGGTCGATTATAGAATGAAGATTTGTGTATTTATATAATATATATACTTGGTATTTATATTGAATGTTTAATTTTTTGGTCTTCATACCCAACACAATATTCCATCAAAATAAAAACGTCACAATACTATAAATAAAACTAAAAAACGAACGAATAACTAATACCATAATATTGGAGTGATTATACGGTTTAATTGTTAGTTTTCAAATAATAATATTACATATGTTTTAATCATGAATTTACTTTAATTATCACGGTTATTTGGTCAATAATTATCAGTTTACTGATCTAAAATTCTAGTAACATTCTTCCTGTACCTACATGTACGATTTGTGTCTTCTGCATACTGTGCACATCTCAATAATATATACGTAATATTCGTAATAATATAGGTATTAGGTAATACAATTGAAAACTAACACAATATATTTTACACATTTTAGCTTTGACATAGCAGCTTATATATATACAGGTTATTAGTTACGATGGTAAACGATGTTGAATTGGTGAGAGAAAGAAGCCTTTGCGGAAATACAGATTTGTATATATTTTATCTTGTCTACCCGCGCATCATCTCCGATACGTGTCTTATATGATTGGCAAACGGCGACAGCATTGATGGCCTCGAAAGGTCAAACCATAAGTATATATTTATGTGTGTTTAATACTGGACGTCCTACTGGAATATAAAGATTTATAAAAAATACATATTTTTTATGCAGCCGTTTATATGTGTTATATACACGTTAATGTGTCCACCGKACTTCCAAAACGGGAGGACCGGTGCTTCGTTTGCAAACCAGTATTTTCAGCAGCCAAATGTCATTCCATCGGGACTGCACAATTCCGTTCATTTCATCTCTACATTATGTTAATGTTGCCGGCAAAACCGGTCACCCAAAAGTACAAGTATGACCCAATACACGCGCGCTTTCCCCCACTTGACAAGACATCTACAAGGGGATAAATCCTTTGTAACGCACACTCAGATGAATATTATTATGATACAATCATATTCTATTGAGTTTCCACACATGTCGTAGAAGACATCAATGACCCACCCAGTGGGTTTATCCCCAAGTGGATTTATAACCCATACAGTTTCCACTATAATACATCTTAGCATCTTACTAAAATTTGAATCTCAAACCAGCTAACCTAAAGACGTATATATATTTATTACTTTATTAGTGTCCAACAATATTAAAAAAAGCCAACTGAGTATATAGAACACGGACATAGCTATGGCTTTGATGGAATACCGAACAACAATTATTTATTAAACACGTCAAGACCAAAATAATTGTACTTGTAAATTGTAACAAGCTATACCGTATCGTATTTCTGAATGGGACAAATTATACCTGACCACGCAATTAACCACAATCGATCACCGTTAATAGTTTTAAATATCGAAATCAGTTATTCGAAGCAATGACAATAGCAAGAGGATTGGAATTGTTTTATTTTCACTTAAATCTTGAAATTGTAATCGACTAGTTTCCAATTTAGTAAATTCAGATGTAGATCGGCATTTATATGCGTAACTAGTAACTATTAAATTATTGGAAGAAAACAGTAATGGATACGGTAAAACTACGATACATTATTAATGAATAAATTAAATAGGAATACATTCAAATATTGAGAATTTTTATTTAAAATTTTTCAATTGTGTATAATATCTTTTATATACTCTATGACTCAACTTCAATTTCCAATCTATATTCTATATATATGTATGATATAAATTATAATCTATTGACATGTACTATGATGGATTTATAACGATGAAAGTAAATATTTTAAAAATTGATTGATGAATTGATGTACACCTAATACCTATTTATAATATGTATATTAGTATTTTTACTAAATATTTAAATATACATGCATTTATTGATATTTCTGAAGTTTTGTAAATTTAATATTTTTTTAAAAACAAATTACACAAAAATATATTTTGAATATATTTATGTGGAAAAAGTACCTATATTTAAATACTGTTAAAATTAATGACCACTTGTATCATAACTTCTAACTATATTTTAATTTAATAATACATTTATTAAATCATTGAAATTAAAAATAATTTCATCATCGATTTTAAAATACAAACAAAAACAGCCGGATAAAAGATTATTATTTTTTGCAAAGGTTAAAAGGGAGCATTTTAAACATGTCAAATATGCCTAAAATATTTAATGAACGAAAATTGAATTATAATTATTTGCGAGAAACGCATAAATCCTGAATTTGATTTAAAAACATGCGTCAACACCAAAATACATTTTAAACTCGCCGCAATAATACGTATCACGTGGTTTGAAAAGTAGTCGATCGTTTTGGAATATATCACAAACAAAATTTATTATAGGCTCAAGACGTGGTCATATATTAAAAATGTATATTGAATACATGTGTTTAAGTTATTTTTATTACCATTGGAGAAAATGTTAATTGCACATAAATCCCGGTCCATCTTGGCATGTTTACAATCGTTTATCCGGATCTTAGGCGGGTGTCCGTTTTTCCTCGACAGTTCCGCGTAAAAAAATATGAAACCCGCTTGAACCGCATGCGTGCCAGTCTTCTACAAGTGACTCTCAGAGGCAACCCATAATATTATAATATTATACATTTATACCGGTACATTTATAATAATTAATAGGTATTAGGTTGGTGCCTAAGATATACTAGATTTTTAGAAGATATACATAATATTTAAATATACTATATTATATAATGTTACTATACTATAGTATTATTATACCATCGATATTGATGCATAAAGTTCGAAAAAAATTAGAAAACCAAATATAGAGATTTTGAGGGGACAATTAGTTTCCCTCTGATATGTCAAACTTGTAATGTGCGCGCAGGGTTATGGATTCAATATCGGAAAATATGATCAACAATAATAATAATACCAAACGGCAAACGTATACAGAATAACTTGACTTACTTAAATAGTATTATAGATTATTAATCCCTGCGATGAGTGTACGAGTGTGAATCTCGCATCCGTGTTTTCATTGGTTGAAAATGCAAACAGCAGAAGAAAAATCACGAATATGAAATCAAAAAAAAAACTACAGTACTATGAGGCGAACCACTTGCTGGGGTGGCGGGCCGAGCGAACACGCGCGAAATACCGATTCAATAGAGTCGCTGCTGGCGATGACCGAACGTCGACTACTCGGGCACACCTCAGTCGACTACCTGCGCCACTATACTGCGGTCCGTGCGCCCGAGGTGGTCTTTGGCGGCGGCACTTCGCGCGGGGTGACCGGTTCGACTGATGCGCACGCGCGCTCGTGCGAGCGTTCCTCACGACCAACAGCTGTTTTTCTCGTGTGGGTCACTGCCGCCTCAAATTATTGTCCTCGACATAAACAAAACAACTCACAAACCGCGCCGTATTCATAATATTATTATTAAACTATCATAATATTAGAATGATATCCTATCCTATCCTATTTATAATCGGCGGCTAAGAACTCGGGTGATGGGGTTTAGACATTTCCGACGCCTGTTGGCTGTTGCTTCCGCAAGTTATGACGATTTTAGAATCGTAATTAAAAGTTTAGAAAATGAATAAAGGTAAATATAATCGATGGAAAACATTGAAACGTAGCGAATTTGGTATGTGAAGCTTATAAGCCACAAACGCCAAGGAATGTTCAATATTTAAATATATKCATATACATTTTTAAAATATGACTGAGTTGAAGTTATTTTTTGTCCTGTTTAACATAATATCATATAACAAATAATTTAGTTTAGACTTTTTAGGTTTAAAATCTTAAGCATTTTGTTTTTTAAAAAAATTCTCTTGTTTTAATTAAAAATGTCTTTCTTAGTATTGAGTATTTATTAAGTTTTAGACTCACACAATTTTGATTGACATACAAAAAAGACACAATTCAATTTAGAAAAAAAGATTTTTATATCATTAAAAATAGGTATAAAATTTTAAAATAGTTTAACTAACTTTTATGTAATTATAATTTTAAATCTTTACCAAAAGGTAAAAATACCATGGGCTGTAACTAAATTACCATATATTGAAATTATTGAAAATGGCACGGTATTGTCGATCGTCAGAAATAGAATGAACCAGAGAATAATGATCATCACAAAAAAAATATTTCAGAAACATCATTCAAAAAGTCAAAATTTCACCGCAAAATGAATCCTATTTAACCTATGGAGTTCTAATTTTTTAATTATGCAGTAAGCATGCGTAAATATGCATACAGTGGGTTATTCAAAGTTTTTTCCTTGTATGTGGGGATAGAAACAAAAAAGTATTATAAACACGTACTAATTTTACGGAAATTACTATAAACTTTCGCTCTCTTATATACTTTATAAGATTATAAAACAGATATAAATATATTATAAAATACATTATATATATATTATTATTATTATACATTATATCGATTTATAATATAGATTCATATGATTTTTTTTTAATAGGTGTAGCGGACGTTGTACAATAAATTGAATTGAAACTCATACTTAGCAATGTTTACTGAATAATAAATGTTTCATTTATGTAATCGTTTTAAATTCATATTGTAATTATTATTATAATTGGTATTTTTTTTAAACTCAAAACATAATTGTAAATTTCATGTAAATGATACCTAATTTACGTAAAACACACAGTGATGTACCTATATTGCCTATACGTTACGCCGTATACTACGCTTAGTGTTGGACACTAAGTTTATAAACGACGCGCGACGGTGGTTTTTATATTTTAATTTTTAATACAAAATTATACTGGTGAGCCAAGTCCTAAACGCTAAAACCAATATCATCATAAATGTATAGGCTCTGCTGTTAATATAATTTACAATTAATGTATGATAGATCTATTTCATGGATGTATAAACTATTTGATCGAAAATTTCTCCTAAAAATGGTATCAGTACTAAAACTATTATTATTTTTTTTTTTTTTCGTACGGTGCTATGTCCGGGAGTAGGCACGAAGGCCTAGTTCGGATGCCTATTTGGCAGAATTTCTATTGGGGCACCTGTAGGTTTCTGCCATGTCCCGGAGTGGGGGATGGCGGCACTTGTTCTCCGGCCACTGTGACTTGCCCAGAGAAAAATGTCACCCGATGGTCGAGGATCGAACCCGGTCCGGCTGAGCCACAGCCGACGCGTTTGACCGCTCGGCGCCACCTCGTCCCCCGAGAATTTTTTTCACGTTTCATATTGTTATTCCCATTTGTTTAGGGTTCTAAATCATTGTAATCATAGGGGTTTCCAGTTCGAAAAAATGTAATGTATTAATAAGCCAAATAATTCTATTTTTGGTACATGATAGTTTTGTTTAAATAAAGACTTAGACTTTTTTTAAGATTTTGATATAATTATAAATTAATGATGGATCAAAATGATCACAATTGCTCTCAAAACTATTGAATACAATCGATGTGATTGTAGTGATAATATAATATTATAATATTATTACACTCAATTATGAACGTCAGAACTAAGAACGTCGGTTTTTTAGTTTTATGGAATTAGTGATGCACCAATGGGGCCATAGTACGATGTCAACCATTTTTTTTTTTTTTAATTTAAAGAAGAAAAAAATTCAATATTTATATTTTACTTGCAATAGTTTCAAGTTCGTGACACCAATGGCTAAAAAGGATAGAAACATTTAATTTTATAAATAACCTAAAATTATCAAATCAATGGTAAATTGCACTTACCTACTAAAAAAAAAAATGCATTTCTTAATTTAAAATTAGGACATAACTATCAATTAGTTAAAACTAATACTAGCTGTGTAATTAAGTTTTAACAAACTATCTACATATAATTAATAAATATTTTTACATTCCCTACCTAAATGAAAGAAAACATGTCGAAAACAAGATTTTATCACTAATATCTACCAAATGTTGAAACAAAAAGTAGAAAAATTAAAATCTCCCCCCCCCCCTCCCCTTAATAAATAGCTGCTGAAGCCCTAGCATATGTCTACGCGATTTAATCATTGTAGTCGTAAATATTTCAAAAAAACGCAAATTATAGGTTAAAGTAAAGTAATTTTCCGTATAAATCACTGATTTACATATATTTAGGTACAGTATAAAAGTAAATGGTCAATTCTATAAGTTACACTAACTTAAAGTGATATTCGTCATTCGCATCCTTTCCATTTATCTATAATTATACACGTTAAACGATGAATGCATCATGAATATATTATTTATTATTTTTTTTCCTCATCATTTAGATCATTGACCTGTGCTGTAGGTGTCTAAATCGTGGCAAATCGATTAGGAAACCCTGACAACCTGTATAAGACAATTCAAAGATCTATTGTTATACCTAAATAATAAGCTCATTTTATTGCATCCGGTGAAATTACCCCGGTAACACTCCAACACAGGAATCGTGAAAAGGAAGCAGGATATATGTTTTTACTTATTATATTCAATTAACATAATCATGTATTATACACGCGTCATTAAACAGCTACGTTTTACTTACGATTGATGGGACAAGTATAGAAATTGCGACAGTAAATACGTGAGATTTATAATAAGTATGCAACGATTCTTTGGATACAAGAACAAGGCAGGAAATACGATTATGTTTTGTGTGTTCATGATAATTATAAATGACTAAATATTAAATAATTATTAGCCGTTGCTCATTAGTTATTCGTTTAGGTACTACTATAATTAGTAATTACCTACGTCTTAAGTACTGGCAATTGACTATTGGTATTATTTTTATATTGTTTGTCAAATATTGTATGATATACATTATACTTGCATGATTTTTTTAATATTCGAATAATTCAAGCTCCCAATATGTGCAGTGTCTTACACTAGTGTTTATTAAATTTTGAATTGAAGTTGAAACACAAGTAATTCCTCAGTCTCCCGACGTCGTTTAGTAAAGTATAAAAATATTGAACTAACAATTTAAAATTATGTGGTGATTTGCTATACTATCCCTCTAAAATAATTGATAAACGTGTTGGTGGATAATGGAGCTAAGCCATTCCAAGTATAAATGTATAAATTATAATAAACGCTGTATACTCGCGACGATTAAGAAATAAATACTATGACAAAAAAACATTTGATTCGTTATGACTAGGGCTGGAATTTTGATGCAAAGCTATCCTTTTTCCTGGTGTTTTGAAACATTGATCCGTAAGTCTTAAATGTGTTTTGAGTGATAAAGAATTATTTTAAAGTATCTTTTTTTTAGACAGGCCATCATGTTGACAAAGAAGTGGACGTACCGGGATCCAGTGTTGTTAGAAGGGGGGGGGGATACAGTTCCTTTACTAAAGAAGGTGCGATACCTAGGACTTTATCTTGATCTACACTTAACCTTAAGTGGACACTTTAAGACCGTCTCGGGTAAGGCGTCCAAGGCAGCTTTGACTATAGGGCGACTTATGCCTAACTTTGGAGAGTCCTCCCAATCCAAGAGAGCGCTGCTAATGTCTTTGATCAACAGCAGACTGCTGTGCGCCTCATCGACATGAGCAAAAAGAGCAATAAAGTACCTACGCTATTTAACAAAACTTTATAATTCTAGTTCAGAGATTGGCGACTCTCAGAGTGACGAGGGAGTACCGCTTCGTTTCTGCTGCGACAGCTTTATTCCTCGCGGGAACTCTTCCAAGCGTTCTTTTTGCTTTGGAACACAAGAGTTCGGGGCAAAATGGATGACCCAGATAAAGTGAGCAGTGAGCACTAAGGATGAAATCCAAGAGGAAGAGCGAGACATCCTGCTTGCTGCCAATGGTCCATTAGATGGAGAGACGTTAGGAACGCAGCCTGGACGCGAAGATCCTTCCGGACCTAATAAAATGGGTGAGAAGACGTCCCAAAGATATCACGTTACGCACGCTCTTATGGGACATGGGTGCTTCAGGAACTATTTGAACCGGAGGAATCATGCCCCTGATGCGGCTTGCCTCTATTGTCAGCACAAGCACCTGACGAATACTACTGAACACACCATATTTTACTGTCCCCAGTAGGAACCGATGCGGCTTGAGGAGAACGGGTTCATAAGCAGCTAAATATCACTCCAACTAGTTTCCAAAGGACATACAGGACCTGCTGTGTCGTCCCAATTTGCATGAACGACTGAATACTGACTGTCTCTCAACGTGGGCCTTCAATGAAATGTTTGAAGACATTCTTAGCTACAAATAACAATATGAGAGGCTGAGACCG